AAAAAAAAAAAAAAAGAGAGAAAGAAGAAGACAGCGGGGGAAAGGCGGCGAGGGAGGTAAGGAAGAAGAAGGGGATTGGCGAGGAGGAAGTGCTGGCAGCCATAGCTGACCGGGGAGTTGAACGCGAGGGTTGACCGGAAGCGTTGACCGGAGTTGACCGGGGGTTGACCAAGGGTCATAGCAGCGTTGACCGGCATTGACCAAGGCCTTGACCAAGACTTTGACCAAGCTGGAGTTGGTAACATCTCGCCAAAACCTTAGCCTGCCCCTTGCCCTATGGATGTGCACATACCCCTTGGTACTTGCTGAGTACAGTCTGTCTGTCTATTCTTTCTGCATCGAGTCTCTTCTGTCCTAGGTCATAGAACTCTGTGGATGAAGGATAGGGTCTGGATGACGAAACCCTAGTCTGACCTTGTAGGGCTAAGACTGTGGCTGATCCAACTTTCCAGGGGGGCATAACCCTCCCAAGGACCGGTACTGACCGGCTGGAAACGGTTGGTAGGACTCAGTGGGCCTGAACGGCAGCTAGGGCTGACACACCAGGCAGTCCTTAAGTGTTGAGGGCCTGTTTGAACCAGTCCCCTACCGGACCAAGTAAGGCTGAGGATCTGTGTCTGACGACTCGACTGTCCAGGAGGTCAAACCCTCCCAAGGACCGATATAGACCGGCGGGCTGCTCGGTGTGGCACAGTAGGCYGGAAAGGCTGAGTTGTGGGCTGAAAGCACAGGCAGAACCAAGCTGATCACGTCGTCCTGTCTGCGACGTTAAAGAATTCTTGAGGAGTTACGGGGGATCTCCTTAAATGCCTCCTGATCAGCCACTGGTTCAGTAGTGACAGCCATAGCATAGGTCTAGGCTAGAGGCCATAGTTGACACGATCCCTGTCAGGATTCTATAAGTCTTAGATTGAGTCAGTAGGTCTATCAGTCAGGGGTCAGAGTCTACGTGGTGAGGTTTGGAACCACTAACCCGGTTGTACACTTATCACTATGGTTGAGACCCGTAGTGGGAAGGAGACTAGCCTCTATAGAAAGAAGCAGCAAGAGAAGATGGCCGCCATAGTGAAAGAGAATAGGGAGAGGAAAGACCGTGAGAAACAGGCAAAGCTAAAGGCTATCGCAGACGAGCGGGCGGCGAAGATGAAGGAAGTGGAGGAAGAGATGAAGAAGAAGGAGAAGGTTGCTAAAGAAGAAGCGGCAGCAGAAGAGGAAAAAGAAAGGATGAGGATTGAAAGCAGAGAAGGGAGCAGTGGCACGAAGAAGGGCACAGACGCTGAGATTGAGAAGAAGATCAGCGAGTGGGTTGCTAACTTATCGTTGGGGGAAGATGAAGAGGCGGAATCATATGTGACTGAGGATGAGAAGGCCGCATTGGCCGCTGAGCTAGCAACCATGACGGATCCTATGGAGCGAAGAGAGAGGGAAGATGAGCAAAAGTTGCAATGGAAGCTGAGAATGAAGAGGGAGAAGAGGAGGATGAGTGAAGAAGTGAATAAGATGACCGCAGCAGTAGCGAAGGTGCAGGAATGTAGAGCGGAGGTATTGGCCCAGCCAGACGATAAGGCCAAGTGGGACAAGGTACTGGGATACCTGGAAGTGTTGAGCAAGGCCTGGATGGAGGAGCACCAGGCTAGTTGGAGTCAGGATGTCACGTTGAGTGCCATGCGGTCAGGATTTAGGGAGTTTGCACGCGAGATCGTCACCCACATTGGGGGGGAAGTGAAACAGTTGAGGGACAACGTAGGGAAGCACTGTGAAGGCGCCATTGAGGGTGCCAAAGCCATAGCTGCTGCAGAGGGCGAAGGTAGACCCCGCAAAGAGTCTGTAAAGCTCAAGTTTCCAGACGCGTACGGGGGAAAGAAGGAGGAAAACTTTGACAATTGGGAGGCCAGTGTCAACAATTATATCTCTTTGCAGCATATCCTAACTGAGGAGCAAGTCCTCGTGGCCTTCCAGGCCCTCAAGGACGAAGCAGCTAGTTTCGCTAGGTCTCTTGCGCATACAGCCGGTTGTGAAAACAACCTGGTTGCATATTCCAAGGTCACCCCTCTTTCCCAATTCCTCAAGCTCCTTAAGGAGCGTTTCGCCGACCCGACGCGAGGCATTAGAGCCTCTGACAAGCTACAAACGATCCACTCACGACAGTGGAGGAGTGCCAAGGCACTCAAGAGTACCATGGACGACTTGGTAGCTGTCCCGGACCATGGGGTCACTGAGCCCCAGTTGGTCCACTTGTTTTATCGTTCCATTCCAGAGGCCCTACGTGGGCATTTCTTTGACAAGTCTCAGCAGGCCGGCATCACTTACGATGCATTGAGTAGAGAAGACGTCCTGTATGAGTCGAAGTCTATGCCAGTCACCACTTTCTGGCATAAGGACCTGGAGAAGGGGAAGAAGTGGAAGGATCGTACCATCTCAGACCAAGTGAAGACCAAGGATCACATGATCCTGTCGTTAGAGGAAGGTGGTACCGATGAGGTCCCATATGATCAGATTGAGTGGGGCCTCGAAGATAATGGCAGTAGTGTGGGGCAGGGGAGGTCTTACGCTGCTGTCGCGGATGGAGGGAGGCCACAAGGAGGAGGAGGAGGCGAGGGCCAAAGGGGCCAGGCCATGGGAGGCCGAGGACCGGGCGCACAGGGGGTTGGCGGACAGGGAAACCGCCAAGCGGGAGGTAGGGGTCAAGGTCCCCTGTCAAATCGCTAGGGTAATCGGTCCCCACAGCGAAGAGGTGGAAGGGCACCTCAAGGAGGATGGCACCCAAGCTTGCCACAGGACAGGCCCTGGGAAGACTTGGACTTGGACCAGCGCGCATGAACGCGTGGACAGGGGTCAGTGCGTATTCTGTGGTGACCCGGTCCAAGTTATCAAATTTTGTCCAAAGTATAGACAGGCCCGTTGGGCTGCCCTGCAGTCAAAAGGCAGCCGCCAGCAGGGGTTGCAACTGCCCCTACTTCCACACCATGTGGAGAAGTGAGCGCGCGCGAACAGGACACTCCCAACCCACATGAGCCTATGGCAGAGGTTGCAGGCCCGTGCCTAGATAGTTGTTCAGAGACTGCTTATATTAGCATCTCTTTAGGCACGTCCCTCACAGGTGTGGCAGAAGAGTTAAAGGAGAGGATGCCATCCTGGGCCAAAATGAAGAAGGAGAGTAAAGGACAACTGATTTTGGTAGATGTAGAGGTGTTTAGGAGTAGGGTAGGGGCCCTTATAGACTCAGGGGCTMCCCGTAGTTATATCAGYCGTAGGGCGCTRAAGAAGCTGAGGCTAGGACTAAAGGTCCAGAAGTTAATAGACCCTATAGTCAGTGTTCTCGCAGACAACCGCACAATGCGCGTTGAGGACTATGTAGAGGGAGTTCAGGCGTACTTTCGTTTAGAGAAGAATGGGAAGGTGGAGAAAGTTTTGCATTCCCTAACTCTCCTCGTACAAGATGACCTTCCTTTCGATGTAGTGTTAGGAATGGATTGGGGAGAGGAAGCGGGGGCCACACTCCATCCGAGAGAGCATGAGTGTAGGCTCCCTAGTCCGTCATGCGAGGTTAAGACTGCCCGCCTGTTTCATGTGTCGGGTGTAGACAACACCTTGGCACATTGCTGTCTCAGTGCTCCCGCGTTTGCGCGATTAGTGAGAAAGGAGCAGTTAGAGGAACAGGTCTTTGTAGTGTATGTTAGACCTGTCATTGAGGGCCAGGAAAAGGATAGTTCCACGGATCCAGCTATTGCCAAGCTCCTGGAAGAGTTCAAAGATTTGACTGAGTCGCCGACGGGGGTAGTGTCGCGACCCATCCAGCACAGGATAGAGATAGAGCCTGGCAGTAGAACTCCTAAGGGTGCAGTCTACAGGATGTCCCCTAGAGAGTTAGAGGAGCTTCGCAAGCAGTTAGACGAACTCCTTGAGAAGGGCTGGATCAGGCCCAGTTCGTCTCCTTTTGGAGCACCAGTTTTGTTTGTCCCCAAGAAGGAAGGAGAGCTTCGTATGTGTATAGACTATAGGGGTTTGAACGCGATCACAGTGAAGAATGCTGAGCCGCTGCCCAGGATAGACGATCTTCTAGATCGGGTGCAGGGTTGTAAGTATTTCTCTAAGATAGATCTGAAGTCCGGATACCATCAGATAGAAATTAATCCTGATGATCAGCACAAGACTGCGTTCCGGACTAGATATGGGCATTATGAGTTTATAGTGATGCCTTTTGGACTAACCAACGCGCCAGCTACTTTTTAGCGTTGTATGAATGACCTGTTTAGACCGTGGTTAGATAAATTTGTAATAGTCTACTTAGATGATATCCTAGTCTTTAGTAAGACCCTCCAGGAGCACCAGGGTCATCTGAGGCAGGTCTTGGAGAAGCTTAGAGAGGCTAACTTCAAGATCAATGCGAAGAAGTGCGAGTGGGCCAAGACGCAAGTCTTGTACTTGGGCCACGTATTGGACGGAGATGGCATTAAGCCAGAGGACAGCAAGATCGCGGCGATCAGAGATTGGCCGACGCCCCGCACATTGACAGAGTTGCGGTCGTTCCTAAGCTTAGCTAACTACTATAGGAAGTTCGTGAGGAACTTCTCTACTATCGCCGCCCCCTTACTCAAACTGCTAAAGAAAGAGGCAATCTGGCAATGGGATTAAGACTGTACGTCTGCGCTCAAGAAGTTAAAACGCGCATTGATAGAATATCCTGTCCTCAAAGTTGCAGATCCGTCTTTGCCATTTGTCGTCACCACGGACGCGAGTCAGTATGGGATAGACGCCGTGTTACAGCAAGACGACGGCAATGACTATAGACCCGTAGAGTTCATGTCAGCGAGGATGCCCTGTGAGAAGGTCGCTACCTCCACGTACGAGAGAGAACTCTACGCTCTCAGGCAGGCTTTAGACCATTGGAAGCACTACCTGCTTGGAAGGCACTTCAAAGTCTATTCGGACCATGAAACGCTTAGATGGTTGAAGACTCAGGCCAAGATGACACCTAAGTTGACCAGGTGGGCCGCAGAGATAGACCAATTCGACTTTGAGTTCAAGCCAGTGAAGGGCAAGTACAACGTAGTTGCGGATGCTCTGAGTAGGAGATCAGACTACTTTGGAGCCGTAGTACACTATCTGGATATAGGGAGAGACCTGCAAGAGAAAGTGAAGCACGCATATGCACAGGACCCTATCTATAGTGACCTCCTAAAGAGAGTTAGAGAGGCCCCAGAGACCGAACCAGATTACCGCACTACAGACGGGTTGCTGTTTGAGAAGACTAATGTGTTTGACCGCCTGTGCGTTCCCAACAGCGAAGAAATTCGTAGTCTGATTCTGGGGGAATGTCACGATACTGAGGGACACTTCGGTTGGCAAAAGACGTTAGCCGATCTGATGCGTGCGTACACATGGCCAGGGATGAAGAACGACTGCATAGAGTATATCCGCAGTTGTAAAGTATGCCAGAGGAACAAATCTACTACACGCGCGCCCCTAGGTCTTCTCAGACCCTTGCCTATTCCGGATCAGCCGGGAGACTCGGTGTCCATAGACTTCATGGACACGCAAGTCAAGAGCAGACATGGTAAGAGCCAAGTCATGGTCATAGTCGACCGTTTTAGTAAGTATGCAGTTTTTGTTCCTTTGCCTGCAGAGGCACGTACAGATTTGGTAATACAGAAGTTCTTTGACTTTTGGGTTAGTGAGAATGGAATCCCATTGTCAATAGTTAGTGATAGAGAGTCGTTTCACCAGCCAGAACTGGCAAGAACTCATGAGAGTCTACGGATCTAAGTTGTTAATGTCGTCCGGCCGTCACCCAGAGACTAACGGTCAGACAGAACAGATGAACAAGATCCTACACCAAGTTCTGCGCATGTATATTAGACCAGATCAGATCAACTGGGATGAGATGTTCCCCAAGGTCGCTAGTGCATACAACAACAGCGTGCATCTATCCACCTGCCGCACTCCCAATGAGTTGCACAAGYCCTTTAGACCGCGCAGACCGTTCGAAGGACTGAACCGGGATCAGATTCACAGATTACCGCCCGGCACCWGGGAGTGTGCGATACAGCACGAGAAAGAACTAGCAACTGTTGTTGAAAACCTCAGGAAGGCCCAGCATAAGATGATAGAACAAGCTAATAAGCACCGCCGCCCGTCTCAGTTTCAGGTAGGCGACTTAGTCTGGGTCAAGGCTAAAGAGTTTCCACCTGAGGAAAACATCTTGCAAAAGTTACTGCCCGCATATAGAGGACCRTGGCCGGTTCTAGAAGTCAAGGGCGGAGAGGATGGACCGTCCTACAGCATTGAGATTCCAGCACACCTCCACACATACCCTGTGTTCCATGCTTCAAAGCTGCTGCCGTGTGTCACAAGTCAACAGTTCCCTTCGAGAAGATCCATGATCCCCCCGGATATGGATGGAAGTTATGACATTGAAGGCATCGTGGATGAGGATGTGTTCAGAACAGGAGGTAGAGGTCGTCCCCATAAACAATATAAGGTTCGGTTTGCTTATCAGGAACCGGAAGACGACCGCTGGTTCACGAAAACAGAACTTCTAGAAACCGCTCCCGACATAGTCAGAGCCTACGAACGTGACAAGAAAGGTAAAGGTCCCGCCTTGGACTGAAATGTTCTCGGAGGACCTCGAATTTAGGACGGCAGGAGTGAAACGGTTTTCACCTTTTAGCAGTAGCGGATGCAGTACCCAGGGTTCGATCCCCAGACCTCACCCTACCCATGTACAGTATCTGTGTAGACCCCGAGAATCGAACCTGTGACCTGTGTATTCGTAGGCAGTTGGTAGGCCTGTCGTAGGTCCATAGGCAGCAGGGGTTCGATCTGTAGGTCTATAGCTTAGGAGTCTTAGTGAGTTCCGGAAGCTTAGCTGTAGACCTTCTAGAAGGTAGGCCWRTGGGCAAGTGGTCAAGTGGTGAGGCAAGTGGTGGACTAAACCGCAGTGCAACAGCAGTACAACGTCGGTAGGATAGCGGTGAGTCCACAGTCAGTCAGCGGAAGGTCCAGTCAGTCCCAGTCCGGTCCAGCAAGTACCACAGGGGGACTGTGAGCACCAAGGGCCGAGAGCAAAGGGCAGRCCAACGAGTTTCTGAAGTATAAATCAAGAGGCAGCGCCCAGCCATTCATTCATTCCTACGTGAGCCAGGCGGAAGCGCTGCCACAGCAACGTGTGCAAGGAGGTCTGCAGATGAGCCCGGAGGACGCAGTGGGCCAGAGAGAGGGAGTTAGTATAGCGATAGGTTAGTGGCAGCCATAGCTGCCATAGCTGTAGTTAGTAGGAAGTGTGTGTGTGTGTGTGTGTGTTCGAGTGTTAGAGTGATGCGTGTGGGATATCCAGGGTGATCCAGTGTGTGTAAACACTGAGTTGTGTGGGCGCTGAAGTCGCCATAGCTAATTGAGAGTGAACTCGTATCTTGAAGCCATATCTCTGAGTTTTTTTTGGGCGCATGTCGCCAGTATGGTGCGTTGCTGTTTACATGCATGAAGAGTGTGTTTGAGAACGAGTCTGATTGCACACGAGAAAACTCGAAGCCCTCAATCAAGGTCAGTGGGAAAAGTATTACTTTGGAGGAGCACATGGCTGTCTACAAAACAAGTGCGCCCCCCCTTCCCTCCTTCCCCCCGCCTCGGCTCCCCACACCACACCAGAAGCCCTGGCCACTACCGGGCATTTCTTCAGCCAAATCTTGTTGTTTCCTGACAGAGGGCCTTGCTGCGCTAATCAGCAAATGTGCAAAATGGTGAACCTATATTCAGCTCAAAGGTCGAAAGATACAGTCACCACATCTTGTCTTTCTCATTTGGCAAGTGGAGGAGCGGGTTCCACAAATGGCATTCTCTCAATTTTATGCACCATAATGCCGGCCCATCTGCCTGCAGGCCACTAACTCCCTGCATGCAGACTGCCATGTGAGCCAAATTCAGCCAATTCCTCCAGCTCTTTCTTTTTCTTTTTCCTTTTTTTTTAACAAGGTTTTCATCTTAAGATTTATTCTTATCCAACAAAGAACAGAAGGATATGGAAGTGCCACCTTTTACAACACATATAAATAATGGCCACCACAGATCCGGACAGCGGACAGGAGTTCGCACAGACTACGACTAGATCCGGACATCTGGGTCGGGTCCAGACCAGACTGGGCTTCATCAACGAAGTTTTCATTTCCGCCTTTTTTTTTTTTTTTTTTGCCTAGAATTTCAATACAAACGACTTTTGGCTGAGGGTCACATCTGAATTCCTCACCGAATCAAATTTTAAAAAGAAAATAACAGAATCAGACAAAGGTACCCCCCTTTAAGCCCCTTTAGCCCCTTTAAAGCCAACCAGTTTATTCCCCCCTTACCCCCCCTTGACAGCTAACACTCGAAAACAGAAAAGACCCCGGGTTCGGGCCCCTCCAGGTCGGCATGCGCGGCCAGGCAGAAAAAAAACAACCTGAAAATAAAAGAACATTTTTAGCCCGGATTCCAGCGTCTGGACACTGGCCTGCATGTCCCAATGATACCCATGGTCTGCAGATTCAGGCCCATGTTCATCTTCTCTGTTCTGTTCGAACTGCGAAAGACATCTCCAAAGACACTTCTTCTTCTTCATCTTCTTCTTCTTCTTCTTCTTCTTCTTTCATTCTTAACACATCGTTATAGCCAAAAGTGCAGGAGAGGGTTGGACGAGGGGAGGAGAAAGTCGGTGAGCTTGCTTAATCAATTTCCTCTGAGATTGTTTGGTGAGAAATGAGTATGGCGGTAGCAGGGACGCTCTCATTGTTTCCTTAGTGCCTGCAGACTCTGAAGACTCGCCTTCTCACACCCCGTACAGTACCAGTCCCGCAGATACAAAGCAGAGCACTTCCTGCACAATGTAAAGCTCCGTGCCGAATGCTTGTATCCGCCATTCTCAATAATGTTCACACCACAGCTATGGCAGCAACGGCATGAATTGCACGTCCACCTGCTCACTTGAACACCAACCCCCCCCAACCCACCAGCACATATAAACATACAGACACAACAAATAGACATGGTCATACATTTCATAGACTCTGCAAGTAGATGACTAGTAACTAATAATCTATCAAGGAGCTCCAGTGTTTACTCACCCTTCCGAGCACATGCACAAAATGCAGGCTTGCACGGGTCTCACCATTGCATACGTTCAGATCATCTGGGTGTAAACATCTCCGCTAATTGCAGGCAGCTGTCAACAAGTACTCATATAACCTTTCTTTTTTTGTTTTTTAGTAACCATTTGTCGATCTGTGTTTGTCTACTTAGAGTGCGCAGGGCCCATGACAAAAAACTATTTTCTGTGTGTCGTTCCTAGTCTAATGACCGTGACGCTGCAAACAACAACAGATGGCCGTAACCCATTGAGAAGTTAAGAACAGATTTTAACATTTTGGTATTTTACTCACCCTTCCAGAGGGCATGCACAAGTGCTGCTGGGTTCTTGGTGCAGTGGATGTGCTCTAAGGTCTTCCACAGGCATTGCACTCCACACACTTTGTCATTCTCAGAGTGGGACTGAATAGAATTATGTTGCATGCATGCATTCGCATACATGTCCACATTCACAAGTAAACATCTGTTATTCCATAGCAACTGTGGATTAGCATTTAGCACCAAATAGAATTATGTTGATTCCATGGCAATTGTGGATAAGGACCAAATAGAATTATGTTCCATGCATGGTTTTGCAACTTTGCATATATGCCCAGGTTCAGAAGCAAACATCCGTAATCCCATGGCAATTGTCGATAAACCACCAGTGCATGGCCCCAGGCAACAAGAGGCTCTCTCCGAAAAACTCCAAGGCCCGGGGCAACCGGACTCCACAATGGCTGGCGGCGTCAGCCAAAATGAAACCAAAAATGCCGCGCTGCCGTTTCGGCAAAAGCTTGGTGAGCAGGGGGAATCCGCCTTGTACAAAAGAGGTTCGGATGTACTGGCGGTTTAAGGGCCAAAAAGAATTACGTTGCATGCATGGGTTTCCATACATCTCGCAGTTCAGAAGTGAACATCCACGAGTCCATGGCAAATTGTGGATGAAAATAACCCCCCTTGAGCGCAGTTTTGAGCTTTTTACTCACCCTTCCAGAGGGCATGCACAGAACGCCGGCTTCTCAGTGCAATGGATATGCTCGAGTCTTCCGCAGATCTTGCACTCCACACACTTCCCCATCTTGCACATCTTTCCGCATTTGCCGCATTGCCCTGCATAGAGCACGTGCTGTCTTTTCCCTTTGTCTGGTTTATGCCCAGTGTCCTCCGCAGGTCGACTGAGCACATTCACGGACCCCCTGACCACTAGAGTCCCCGCCGGTGTCACCTTCTTCTTCTCACCATCATACTCCGCCGGAGCTGCAGCCCCTCCATTCCCTGCCACCTGCTCCAGACAGATTCCTTCACCTTGCCCTCCTTGGTGCTCAACCACCAACTCTTCCCTTTTGGCCACAGGAGCTGGACTGAAACTCCTCCCACTGTCCCCTGTCATCCCCTGGGCAACAGATAAAAAGTCCTCCTTCCCAGGGGCACCATCCACAGCCTGTACATCAGGATCCGGCGGCCAATTTCGTACCTGTTCGTCATCATCATTTGCATCTTCCGGGCGTGAAACACAGGCCACAGGCACATCTCTTCCTTCGGCAGAGACAAAAACGTCAACGTTGTCATTACGTTGACGTCTGCCATCTTTCCACAGTGCACCTCCTCCTTGACCAAGAACCGCAGATGAACAATGCAACACTTCACCGCGGCTGTCTTTTCCTCCAGTGGAGTGGGAGAGCTGCACCCTTGGTGGCAATGCCACATCAAGCCTTGACGAGGACCACGTGCCTCCTTCTGCCATATTCCCGCTCTGTGGCATTTCCCTCTTGTTCTCACTCTCGCCGTCATGATCTTTTTCATCGTGTGTCCTATTCTCAAACCCGGAGCTGGCAGTTGTGTCACACTTCCCCTTCCCTTCTATACAGCTCATGTTTGCCTCAGCACCAGCACCCCAGTCGCACCATCCCTTCAAAATTCCCTGGGCAGAGGGTTTCTCTAAAGAAGAGGCCACAAATGACTTCCGACTTATATAGGGTATGAGTTCAAAAACACCATCAAATATAGAGTTGGGAACAGGCTTACGGCTGCTCCTCCTGGTGGGCTCAGCAACGCATGACGGGCGGTTTTTCAAAGGGCTGTAATTGAATTGTTGCATCTCGGCCATCTTCTCATTGCCAGCCCTCGCCGCGGCACTCCCACCACCAACAGCCTCATGCATCTGCGCAACAACAATATAGGGGTCCGCTGCAACGTCATGTTTATCATGTCGCCCGTAGCACTTACTCTCCCACTTCCTGGGCTGATGAGGCTGGTTCTCAGCAGCCGTCGTTTTACTTGTGTTTCCCTCCATTGAGATGCCGGGACCGTCCAAGTGACTGTGAAGGTGACCCCGAGATGTCACATTGTCCACACCCGAGGAGGAACAAGGCATCCCTCCCCCTAATGCATTTTCTCCCTCTTCTTCCTTGTGCCAACGATCGATCACACCTGGCTCTTCCCGAGAAGGATTATAAAATGACTTCCAACTAGACCGCTTCCCACTGCCAAACAGCAGATTGTCAATATGTTGTGATTTCCTTCGAGTAGACGCAGTGCCAGCAGACAACCGCCTTGTTGAAGTTGTCGTACTTGCTCCCGGCAAAGGTTTCTCTTTCAGGTCAAGAGCAGCTGATGCACCTCCACCGACAGAAAGAACCCTATCATTGGCGACTGCTGCCCCTTTGCCAACGGAACAGACTTTATCGATGGTGGCAGCTTCCCCTCCGCCCACAGAACGAGCTTTGTCGACAGCATCTGCTGCCCCTTCGCCAACAGAATGGACTTCATCAACAACAGCCACTGGTCCACCACCTAAGGTGGAGGGAACCTTATCAATTTCCCAAACCGGTCGTGTTTTGCTGACCCTTGCTGCCCGGTCTGAGCCCCACGACATCATCATTCTCCGGCCCCGGCGCTTCACACAGCCAGGCTTATGCATGCTCACAGGCGTGCAGCTACCCTGAGGAAGATTCTCTCCCATTCCATAAGCAGGAGCCTCCACTTTCACTTCTGCCACTTTGTTGCGATTGCCCACTTCGCTCCGCCCTGCACATGGATGATGTGTGTTCGAGGATCCTCCTCCATGCCATGCAACCGTTGTGTCCCGAGCAGCGACATCCACAACATGGCAAGCGGCAGCCCGTCCTCCTTCAACACCAAGCTCCTCACATGCTTTTCCAGGAGAAAGACCATGGGGGACAACCGTGCGGGAAAGTTGTCCCTCATGGTTTTGCAAGGTACGACTGTCAGCCTGAAAGGTGATATTCGCAGTGTTCTTTCTATTGTGAATCGTGCTACTTTCCGAAACAGCAAACTTGGCATCGACAGCCTCATCAAGAACATGAGGGCGCTGGTCCTCTCCCCAACCCTCACATCCTTCTTCCGAAAGGCGACCCACTACTGTCGTCCTGTAATTTTCCGATATCGGATATAAAATGGACTCAGGGAAGCGCCTGGGCACCCTCTTCCGTTTGCTCCGTCTCATTGCATCCCCAGCAACCCTGGCCTGCCGATCCCTAGCCACAGGAGCCCACCCTGTAACAACCCCTTCACCATGTCTTACCTTCTCTCTCCTCATTCCTCCTCCTCCTCCTCCCCCTCCTCCTTCGCCACCTCCTCTCTCCTCATTCCCACTTGCTACTAATCCTCCTCCTGCAGCACATCCTTCTCCCATACTTCCAACCCCTCCATCCTTGCCACCCACACTGCCAGCGCGTGCTTTCGACTCCCTCTTGACAGCAAACCCTGTACTTGCTCTAAAAGTGGGCGCAAAAGCCTGTCCTATGGATATCCTCATCACTGGCCGTGTTTTCTCAACAGGCACCGACTTCGCAGCCGTGTCAGCGCCAGAACTATGGACTGAGGCTTCAGAACACGCCACCGAAGTCGCCTGCCAGTGCACAGGATGAGCTCTCCTCTTCTGCGTCCCAACGACACCCCTCCAACTTGCTGATCCATCAATTTTCCTTCCAGCAGGATATGGACTCGAACCACAGCCCTGACCCTTCCCTTCCTCCTTCCTTGTAGATTCCACTCCACCTGCACAAGTGAACGTTGCCTTCCTAACTGCTGCGATACGCTGAACAGACCCAGTCCCCAAGCAAGGCGCCTGAAAAGTCGCTGTATCTACAGTACTACGAGATAAGACTGGATGATGAAGCCAAGGCTCATGACCTGCATGGAAAGGAAATGTTACCGCCCCAACACCACAATAGTCACAATAGTCTCTTCATTATAATCAGAAACATGCAAAACTCTCTCTCTCTCTCTCTCTCTCTCTCTCTCTCTCTCTCTCTCTCTCTCTCTCTCTCTCTCTCTCTCTCTCTCTCTCGCTCGCGTGCGCGCGCATGCACACACACACACGCATCTAACTCCACACAATCAAAAGCCCCAAGCAAAACCTGTGGAGCTGATACGTCTAGAGGTTTTGGGGGTTGTCAGGGAAGAGCTGGGATTAAGTCAGGATCAGCGGTAGATGAGCGAAGTGAGGGTTCCAGAATTGTCAGAGAAAAGTTAGGATCAAAGGCGTAGATGAGCAAATTTCCCACTGAACTTTACTCACAGGTTTTTACGAGTTTTTTGTTTGTCAGGGAAGATCCTATATTGATTCAATAACTTTCCAGATACACGTTGGCCATCCCCACCAGGGTTTTTGCCGCCGCATCTGACAGCATGCTCGTATTCATGCACCGTCTGTTGCGCTGGAGTGAACATATGGTCCAAAAATGAAGTCCATGAAAAAAAAGAGGCCACATACCATTCAAATTTCAAACTCTATGGGGTGTGCTACCAGCGTCGGCAGGCTATATGGAATGCATACATACGTTTTGTGTTTTGCATGGGTAGACACAGTGTTCGATTTGGGATGAGCAGGTAGAAACGAGTATTTTGAGGCCATAGCCGTTGCGCTTTTCCGAATAGTGCTCTTGTTTCCTTTTGCCATTTCATTGGTGACTATCATCATGTGTGAAGAACTGTGTATTTAAAATTTGGACAGAATCCAAAACTGTGTATTTAAAATTTGGACAGAATCCAAAACTTTGTATTTAAAATTTGTACAGAATCCTAGTGCACAACTGTGTATTTAACAGTTGAATTTTGAACTGTGTATACAGGCAAAAGCTCGAGTGGCCAGAAACATTTGCCTTTCAAATCATGCCTCTTCTGTAGCAAAAGGCTTAATCTGTGAGAGCCCGAGAAGAGAAAGAAGGGGGTGACAGAGGGAGGGAGGGAGGGAGGGAGGTGGGGGCGGAAGGGAGGGAAGGATGCATGGTGGGGAGAGGACTGTGGAGGATTCGACCCAAAATCTGGGAAGGACAAAATCTAAAGATTCCAGATTCTCAAATTCGTCCTTCAGAGACATCTGTCAAAATCGAAACGATACAAAGAAGATAAGGAGGGACCTTGGGCAAGGATGACATGCATAAATTGAGAAATGGTCAAAACCACCACTCTAACCGAAGCAAAATTGTCAAATTTGCATCTTCCCGAGCCTGCAGTCTACAGTGCGCGCCATTGCTTTCTTTGAGGCCGGCACCAGCCTCCCTTGAAACTGCAGTGTGCCAGCAGATGTCACGACAAGGCCCTTGCTGAGGGCATACTCACACTAGAACTTCCAGAATGTATCTAGCCACTATTACGGCCATATTTTTATTGTTGTTTTTTTTTGTTTCTTAGTGCTGGCAGGGCGTTTTGCACGTGCTTGGAAACGGCCTCACTGAGGACATACTCACACTAGTACTTTGCAGAATGTATCTGACCGCTACCACAGCCAAATCTCTCTTCCTTTCTCCATTTCTTTCTATTCGTATGCCGCATTCTCTGCGAAGGCCCTTGCTGAGGGCATACTCACACAAGGACTCCAAACTCTTTTTTTTTCTCTTCTTTTTTTCCGATTCCGGTAGATTCTTTTGGGCCTACCAGCCTTTTCCCTCCGAACCTAAGCCTTGCCTGATCACTGTAGATTTTGCTGTGGGAATCAGTCCGAGAAAAATCTACAGTGATAAGGCACTTGGAGTGGTGGTTTAAGACTTTAAAGTTTAAACCCAAAAAAAAGATGGAAAAATCTCAGATTCCTCTGTTGATAAACAGATGAACACAATAAAGCATAGTTGCAGCGCACCTCGGTGCGCGGATTTGCACACGAATTGCGCACCACACAGCACACCGAAGCGCAGCGCACTTGAGAAATTAGGTCCAACAAAAAGAAAAAAAGTACGGGTTTTGTAATTTCTCAGGGCCCCCAACTCGGCAAAAATGTTAAACTCACCGCGCAAGCTCACAAGCCGGCCGCGCCCATGGCCCAAACTTTTCTTTTGGGTAAGAGCTGCCGAAATTTCGATTTCCGCAGGCCCTTCCCCCAAAAGTTTCAGAATGGCGAAGCACAAAATAGGGCTCATTCCAACTTTTTTTTTAGGCGGGGTATGAAAGCTGTCCTTCCCGCTCCCTTCTGCAAATCCCACACAGTAGTGGGGTAAGTTCACAAGAATGGGTAGTCGCCTAATAACGACCTGCCCCGCAAAACTTCGCAGAAGTCACAAATTGCGTGTTCCGTGGCCAGCCGACCACCAATATATGCTGAAGATTGGCGTTCAGGTCTGCATGTCGGCAGTTATGGGTTAGGATGAAGATGCCCGTGGCTCTCTCGTTTTTTTGTTTTTGTTGTCTTACGAATACGTCCAGTGGGGATGCACAAAAGACATAGCGTATGGCGGTGTATGGTTCCATGTTTTAGCAGAAGATTCATTCTACTAATATTATATACATTTGGTGAGTGGTGGAGGGAGGCCCTGAGAATCACGTGGAGACACGAACAGGGTCTAGCTGAATTGGTGACCCATAACTGCCGAGCTACAGCCCTGAACTCGAATCCACAGCATATATTGGTGGTCTGCCCCCATCTCTCCCACACGTGACGAGGCCATCCTTCTCATTGGAACAGTGACCCTCAATGGCTCCACATGTATTGTAGGAGCCATTCGAGGTACCTGCAGGGGCCCTCGAATTGATGTGAAGGGGACCCTTTTGTCTCTCTCTCTCTCTCTCTCTCTCTCTCTCTCTCTCTCTCTCTCTCTCTNCTCTCTCTCTCTCTCTCTCTCTCTCTCTCTCTCTCTCTCTCTCTCTCTCTCTCTCTCTCTCTCTCTCTCTCTCTCTCTCTCTTGGGGCCTGTCTTTTTTCTTTTTTTTCTTTTTTTATCGCGCACAGGGCGCAACTCCCTCAGCGCGCGCACCGTGCACAGCGGACCGCACGGCGCACAGTGCTTGCGCTGTCATTCCAGCGCACAGCGCAGTGTGCACCGCCCCGCACCGCACTGCGCACTGGTGCGCCGCAACTATGCAATAAAGTCTACCCCCTTATTAAGGTACCAAAAAAACAAAAAAAACAACAAAAACTCTGAATACAAGGCATATTTTGGAGGTCACAAACCGGAAGAGATCAAAGATTTGGAATTTCCTGAATACAAGGGCATGCTTGGGGAAGCACAGCAGATATCGAATAGCTGCAAATCTGTGTGTCAAAACCTGGAGTTCTTCTGCAGGAATAAATCAGTAGTTGTTGTTGTTGTCGTTGTTGTCGTCGTCGTCGCCATTGTTGTTGTCGCCTTTGTTGTTGTTATTGTTGTTGTCGTTGTTGCTGGTGTTGTTTGCCCCCAGCCCTTATGTCAGGACTCAGACTTTCAGACATGCAGAGGAAAATGCCCAAGAATAAAATACATAGTGGAATAAATGTAGGGAAGCTGTATTGGTATAAAACATACTTGCAAGCCCAGACCATGCGCACATTTGAGTGGGTGAAGCACACGTGCCACATGACACATGCATGGTGTGAGGCATGTGAACAAGCAAAAGAACTGTAAGATTTGAGAAAAGAAACATCAATGATCTTATCTCCCTTTCTTGCTTTCTAAAATGGCAACGGCCTTGAGATATCATTGTTGTACTGACTGGCCACAGATAACTCAGAATCTTTTTTTTTTTTCATGCACCAAAATTCCACCTGGATTCGAACTCAGATCTGTACTTCAACAGGACATGGGTGTACCAACCGAGCTAGGCCAGTCTGTAGAAATCAATGATCATTTAATTGTAATGACCTGCAAAATCACAGACTGAGAACTGTGCTGATTTCTGAGTTTTCCCGCTGGACTGTGTGCCTGCTGAGATGCCCCGCTTTTGCTGAGATTCTAACTCTGTGTGTGAGTGTGTTTGCTGGTTCCCGTGTGTTTGTCGGGTTGCCTGAGTGCTTGAGCGTGTGTGTGACGCGCCAGGGAACTTGTGTGTTTGTGAGGCCCTCGGGCCTGGTACTTACCTATGGCCGTGACTTTGAGGGTCGCAGTGGGGGAAAACACTCCAGTAGCAGGGCAAGTAGGCCCACATAGGTCAGGGGCCACTCAAGTAGCGGGTAAGCTAGGCCAGTAACACTCAAGTAGCGGTAGGCCTAGCAGAAGAAGACGAAAAGTTAGGATTTTTAGAGGCCGAGCAACCAGTAGGCATAGGCAAGCGGGTACCAGTCCAAGCAGCCAGAGTCTAGGGCCTGTGTGGACGATATCAGAGCCTGCAATGGTGTTTTCCTCCAAAAGGGGAGAGGTACCGGTTGCTTGGAGGCCGTGAGGTCTGGAAGTCACCAGCCGTGAGGCTGGTTGGCTGCTATACCTCCTGGAGGAGCGATTAGCTCCTCCTCATTTGCGGTATGCAAGTTTGGGTATCATGATGCTTGAGAGGGCACTGGTTCTCAGAGCGCTGCTGGGGAGGAAGGAGGGCTGGGCGCCCTGCCTGGCTATGGCGAGCATCCCAGCTTGAGGAGGAAGAAGGGGCGAAGAGGAGAGTGGCAGGGTACTTACCTGGCTTTGGCGGAGATAAGGAGCAGCATGAGAGTGGAGAAAGAAGGGGGATTTGTCATTGGTCTTGCTGGTGTGAATATTCTTCTTCTTCTTCTTCTTCTTCTTCTTCTTCTTCTTCTTCTTTCTTTCTTCTTCTTTCTGTCTTCTTCTTCCTCTCTTCTACTTTCTCCTTCTTTGGACCCTAACTCTTTTATATCCACCCCGCGCCCCTCTCTTCTTAATTCACACACTCGTCCTCTCAATCACTCACCTTGACCATCCATGCTCCCGCGTTCTTTCTCCTTCTTTAGAGCCTAACTCCTTTATATCCACCCCGCCCCCCTCTCTTCTTAATTCACACACTCGCCCCCTCCATCACTCACCTTGACCGTCCATGCTCCCAGCGCTCCCAACTGAACGCGACGCAACTAAGCTCCGCTGCTGCTTCAATCGTCCAACTCCCTCTCTTTTTTCTCCTTTTCCGGCAACAACAGCAGGACTCCTCTCAAAGATGCCTGCAGAGGACTTCCTGTGCTTTGGTCCAACAAACCCATCAACCGTCATCCCCTTCTCCGTTGCACCCAAAGGCGAAAGGCCAGGATGCCGCAGCACCTTCCTCCTCTTCGCAGTCCTCCACGCCATCACTTCTTCACTTGCTTGGTTCCCACCCTCCTTGCCATGACTCCCCTCCTCCTCGTCGGCACACAACCCCCTCGCTCTCTGCAGAATACCCACCCCTCCCCCCCCCTCCTCTTCCTCTATTGCTCCTACCCCCTTCACACTCACTTTACCCTTCTGCGCCGCTGCCATCGTATTTACAACGCTGGCACTTCTCGACATGATCCCATGGTCCATCCTTCCCCCTCCTCCTCCTCCTCCTCGTCCGTCTATCGTTGCTTCCCTTGGAAGCTCCCCACCCACCCCATCCATCTCCTGGAAGATTGGCAGCGGCTGCCTCCCATGATCCAGTGAAGTTGTCTGCTTGTCCTGCTGCTTCCCATGTCCCCGTTCTTCAAATCTTGGCGAAGATATGCCACGTGGCAATATCTTGCGCACTTTATGTCGCACTCTCGAGCTCCGCATTCTTGCTCCCCTGCAGCTGCCCTCTGGCCCGTCCCACAGGAAGTTCCTTAATGACCTTTGCTTTGAGCGAGGTCGATTTGTGGTCCCAGCTGTCGTCTCCTGCCTTTTACTCTCATCTTTCCCCACTTCATCACCATCCCCTTCATCATTAACAGCATCATTATCAACACCATCATCATTGCCACCATCATCCTCATCAAGCACAATGTCATGGCCATTACCACCCTGTTCGCGGTTTCCCATACCCTCGCAGCGCCCTGTTGGGCATTGCGAAAGAACTGTTCTCACCCCTCCTCCTTCTCTTCTCCTCTGAGGAGCACTATGCCGGCCACGCTGCGCTTTCCCAGACAGCAAACCAACCCCTCTTCCCCATTTCACACCCTGAAGAAGAGAGGAATCTCCTTTTGTGGTGGTGGTTAGGAGCAATGGTGGTCCTGGAAACTTCCCTCCATAGCCGGATGAAACAACAACCATTTTCGACTCCTCGTGCCTCCTCTTCTGACCATCACCATCATCTTCGCCAGCACCAATCTCGTCGTTATTTTCCTCCTCCGCCGCCGCCTCCTCCTCCTCCTCCTCTTCTTCTTTTCCACCTTCAGATTTTCCCCCGAAGCACCTGACGCGTTGAACAAGGGGCGTCGGCAGATGAGCTGCGTGCATTCTCACTCCTCCACTGCTCTGTGAGTGACAACCCACTACTCCGGCGCTTGTTCCAGACACAGACCCAGTCCCTCTTCCTGGTCCCACACCCTTGAGTGAAAAGGAACCAACATCACCACCGGTGACCATGCTTGGGAAGCTTAGTACATCAGAAGGTCTTCGGCCATTCTTAGCAGATTTCTCTGCCTTCGCACCACGATACTTCCCATCAACGGCAGTGAAAGTTCCCTGATCATGCGCAGAAGAAACCGACACTGTCGGCAACATTCCCATTCCCAGTCTAATCCTCGATACAACAGACGTCGACGACTGACACGAAGCGGGCACAGGACGAACTATAGACCGCACATCCGCTCCTCCTTCGACTGCCACTCCTGCTCCTTGCCCCGCAGCTCCAACTGTCTGCTTGGAACAGCCTACTTCTCTCTCACCTACCCCTCCTATTCCTCCCATTCGTCCTCCTCGTCCTCCTCCCCAGCCACCCACTGCTACTCCCCAGCCACCAACTCCTCCCAATCTTGCAGCTCCTACCACCTGCGTCGAACCCCCCACAACCTCCCTCTGACCTGCTCCTCCTCCTCCTGCTCCCCCTCCACCTCCAATTCTCCTCCCCCCATCTGCAAGTCTTTCAGTTCCTCCTCCTGCTTCCGCTGCTCTTCTGTGCACTCCTCCTCCCACTGCTACTCCCCAGCCACCAACTCCTCCCAATCTTGCAGTTCCTACCACCTGCGTCGAACCCCCCACAACCTCCCTCTGACCTGCTCCTCCTCCTCCTGCTCCCCCACCACCTCCAATTCTCCTCCCCCCATCTGCAAGTCTTTCAGTTCCTCCTGCTTCCACTGCTCTTCTTTGCACTCCTCCTCCTACCACCTGCGTCGAACCCCCCACAACCTCCCTCTGACCTGCTCCACCTCCTCCTGCTCCCCCTCCACCTCCAATTTCCCCCCCCCCGTCTGCAAGTCTTTCAGTTCCTCCTCCTGCTTCCACTGCTCTTCTTTGCGCTCCTCCTCCTCCTCCTCCTCTAGCAGCTTCGGCTAGCTGTGAGGGTGCCGCAGTATTGCTGTGGCAGTGCGTGGGCGGGGAGGCCATGGCCCTTTTCTTTACCCTACCACCACTGGAGTGTCGTTGCGGTGTTCGACAACAACTCTTCTCAAAACTCCTCTCTGCCCCTCCACCCCACTCTCCTCCTGTGCCAGGAGTTGTCCCTCTCTCTGCCTTCTGCTGCATCCCTGGACGCTCCATTCCTGCAAAGAAAGGAGGATGACCATCAACACGCCAACTCACCCCCACCGTACGATTGTCATCCATCCCCTTCCTCTTGTCCCCCATTATTGTACCTCCTCACCTGATTCCTTGCCTCTCGCTTCCGATTCCTCCCCTTCCCCAACTTCGTCCTGCTTTCCCTCCCTCCTCCTCCTCCTCGTCCTCCCACTCCCACCCCAATCGGTCATACCCTAGTTCTTCCTTCATCTGTCTGCTAACCCCTTTCTTACCGCTTGGCTTTTTTTCTCCCTTCCCACTTCAGTACCCCCCAATCCGTACTATCACTGTTCAGCAGATTTCCACCCTCATGTACACGCTCTTCCGGCAGCAAAAAGGACTCCTACTTCCCGAGAAACTTTGCCCCTGAATATCAATTTCTGGCTCCATCCCCAGCCCACTTTTTCTCCTCCCCCTCCTCCTCCCCCTCCTCCTCCCCCTCCTCCTCTAACCCTTCAACAGATCTCCACACTCCTCAACACGCTGCTCTGGCAGCAAAAGGGACTTGGATTTCCCGAGGAACTAACCCCCACAATATAAAATTTCTGGCTCCATGCCGATCCCACTCCTCCTCCTCCTCCTCCTCCTCCTCCTGCTCCTCCTCCTCCTCGTCTTCGTCCAGGGCCTCCCACACCAAGCACATCCTAATTACGTAATTCCTCAGGAAATGAGTACCTGCACATCCTGCCGCCATAACACAGACGAATCAAAAGAAACGTTAGTGCAGCCACAGAATCCAGAACCTCTCAAGAAGACAAAAGAACTGCAACCAAACAGTGTGTCACAGCCCCTCGTTTGTTGTCCTCTTCTCTCTCTCTGCCTAAGATTCACGGGGTCAAACAGAACTGCCCGGTGAACTGTACGCACAGAGGGGGAATAGGACAACAAAATGAGGGCCCAGTGAATTGTCGGCAGATAGGGAGAATAGAACAACAACGAAGGGCTGTGACAGACTGCTTCGTCGGAGTTTCACCGACTCATATATTGTCTATCCCATAGGCAGATAAGGAGACGAGGACAACAAACAAGGGGCTGTGACAGACTCTTTCGTTGGAGTTTCACCGACTGACTCATCAGGAGGCTATACAGAAAATTCGAGAATCTCACAAAAGGAGGCAACAGAAAAAGGCCTCGACAAGAATTTCATTCTAAAAAAAGAAGGGGGAAGAAAATTCAGTTTAAATCACACATCAAATTATCAACAGAGATTGTTTGGAAAATGATAAGGCTGAATGAGGCCAACGTGCACATTCCGGAATGGCAGGGCTAGTTTTATCTAGAAGTCCTTCGCCCTTAAACCCCTTCCGGAATGGCAGGGCATGAATTATCTCCTCGGCCCTTGACCACTTTCCCTACCTTTAAAAAACAGCAACTACCAAAGGAGTCCATATTTCGTTCAGAAAAACTGATCAATTTTTTTTTTATCTTTTTTTTTAAGGCTAATTCTTTAAGCCCAACCAATTCAATTACTTGTCAAATCTGGACAGGACGGCCTTTCAGGCCTTTTTTATTGTCATTATAGTATTACGGGGAACCCCGTAGCAGCCACATCCGTGCTCAAGCCTCCATCGAGGGAACATGCGGGAGCTGCACCCACCAGCAGGTGCGATACCTGCTACAGCAGGTGGGCGACATCGGCCAGGGGTCAGCCGGTAGCATCAGGACCGAGCTTCTTCGATGGGCCAGTCACTGTGCCTCCCCTCCGGTCCCCTCCCCCTATGAACATCAGCAGTCTCTGCTCAATGCCACTCGGGGGGACCAACAGCATATCTCTAGGTGGCAGGGGCCAAGCATGCCCAGGAAGGTGCATGAGGCCAATGGGGATTGAACCCAAGACCTCCCGAATGCCACTTGCGTGCCTTACCAACTGAGCTAGGCCGCTGGATAAAACTGATCAAAATTACATAAGAAAACAAAAACAAAAACAAAAATCCAAACAATTCCGGAAAAACGGACAAAATTAAAGACGTCTGATTTGCATACAGATTTCCTCCAGCTAATTTCTGGTGACAATGGGCAGGTAGCTTTTTTGTTTTTTTGTTTTTTTCTGCGCAGGGGCCATGCTAATCTTCTCTGTATCGTTCAAATTTTAACCAATGTCCCAATGGTTTCTTTTCGGTAAAAAGGATGGCCGTGTTTCCCACCATGGTAATTATAATATAAGGTCACACCCAAGAAACGGTCTGTCACAGCCCCTCGTTTGTTGTCCTCTTTCCCCTCTCTTCCTACGGTTTACCAGGCAGTTCTGTCTAACAACATATACCACGACTTCAAAAAAAAAAAAAAAAAAGGACGGCGGCCTTGAGATATCATCATTGAGCTGACTGGCCCCAGGCAATTCAGAAATATTTGGTTCGACTCTTCAAGTTCCATCATCATCTGGATTCGAACTCGGGTTTATATTTCAACAGTTCATGGGTGTACCCACTGAGCTAGGCTCTTGGGTATATATCACGAGTTCCATAGCACCCTGGTACCTTCATTTCCCCCCCCCCCCCCTTCTTGTCCTCCCGTTCCTCTCTTCTTTTTGAAAGGGAGACGGCCTTGAAATATCATCATTGAACTGACCGGCCCCAGGTAATTCAGAATGATTTTATTCTGGTCATTGTGTCTGGATTCGAACTTGCGTCTGTATTTCAACAGTTCGTGGGTGTACCAACTGAGCTAGGCCCGTTGGTGTAGCACCCTGCTACCGTTTTTCTCTGACCAGCTTCAGCGTCAGTGGTCGGGGCTGTCACTACACGGGCATCCTGTGTCTCTAGCGCCAGCAGCGTGTCTGCAATGTATGTTCTGGCTGTGACAGACCTTTCTTTGTTTCGTGGGTCTTTTGCTGGCTTGTGATGGGGTGTTAACCTACAGTCTGTAGAGCTTTCCGTCAGCTGTGGGTGAGTGATAGGGCCTCGCTCCACTACTTTCAAATGTGCAAAATGAGAGTGAATCTTCCGGTAGAACATGGAAAGATACAACACCATAGTTTTTGTCTTTTGTGCATGTGGAGAGTAGTGGAGCAATGCCCATAGGCTGCTTTGCTTGTTCCAATTCTAACAGAGGTGATATCCCAACGGACAGTTTCTTCCGATTTCTCGTCTCCCGAAAAGGGGTGAGCCCCTAACATCACTGTATCAGTCTGATTCCATCAGGCTTCAATCACTGCATCAGTCTGATTCATACATGTGGCACATCGAGGTGCGCGGCACAGCGCCGATGCGCTGCACAGTGCATGGCACACGATGCGTGCGCACAGCGTGCGGCACACCTCGAAAATCAGGGGTCAGCAAAAAAACAAAAAAAAAGTTGCAGGGGGGGTTTGTAGGCCCTTATGCCAGTTCGCATCAACCGGTACCAAAGTGGGGAAATTGTGTTTTGTAGGCCGCGCACGGGCACCAAAAAACAAAACTAGGGAGATCTGTGTAGCTCGATTTTGAACTACTCAGACCCACCACGCTGGCTGCAGAAACCCGGTAGTCGACATTAGCGGCTGGACAACACGTTCTCCTTCCCAGCCGTTGTGTGTTGGCCTTCGTCGGCTCGTCCGTGCACCAGGAAGCAGCCTCGTCGTTGTCATGTAGCCATCGCCAGCACAGCGGGAGGAGCCAGAGGAAGCCGTGTCTACAACAGTGGTGAGTTACCACCAGCCCCTCTCGCGCTCTCCTCTCTCTCTCTCTCTCTCTCTCTCTCTCTCTCTCTCTCTCTCTCTCTCTCTCTCTCTCTCTCTCTCTCTCTCTCTCTCTCTCTCTCT